GTCAGTCTTCACAGACAGACAGCTGGGTCCTGGAGACTCTGCTCTCAGTCTCTTGTTCCAATGTCTACAAACACAAACTTGTTTATATTAGTGCTGGTCAACATTAACATTTGTAAAGGAGAACAACCCCATGACCCTCTGTGATTTATCACATAGTTTTGAACAGTGATGGGAATAACTGCGTTAGAATAAACGCTGCTACTAACGGCGTTACTTTTTTCAGTAATGGGTAATCTAACTAATTACTTTATCTATCGTTATAACACCGTTACAGTCACCAACACACCGTTACTGTGCGTTACTGAAGCTACTCATTGAAGCTGTCATCCGACTTGACTCACACAGACACAGGAGCTGCAAATGTGTGTGTTTTTCCATATGGCGGGTGTTTACATGCACACCCAGCACACAGCAGCAGCACACACACACACACACTTTCAGAGATGGTGAATACAGGCACTACTTTAACCTGGTCGAGGCAAAAGGTAAAAATGTACATGTTCAGTGAATGTTATGTCGAAGAGCAAAGAGTTTGTCCACGTCCGGTGTGTAAACAACTCCAATTTAATGATGCACATCTCGACAGCACACGCTTCTACCACGTTGTTAACCAGTGACGTGTGGTCAGGGGAGGCAGTGAAAAAAAGTACATAAAATAAATATTAATATTTTCCACTGATCTGTGTTAAACATGCATTTTCAGTCTGACTCTACACATTTTTGACATTTGATGTCATTTGAGTAAAAATCGCTAAATATGCTTTAACAAATGCATTCAGTTGTTGTTTTTTTTTTATTTACAGAACAAAGATGGAGAAAATAGTTCCGCTCAGTCAACCCAAGTTCAGGTGGGAAAGTGGAAAGTGCCGTTGAGTGAAAACTACCTGGATCTGTTTAGAGGACTTTTGGACTGCGATCGGTTAAAGGTACGACACCTTTCTCGTTGTTGAACTATTTTACCGACAAGAAAAAAAAAACAACAACTTAACTTTTAGGTAACTGTTCAGCTCACATTGTTAAACAGTTTACCTTATACTTGAAGATTGATTCATTTAATTTACACCACAGCGAGTAAAAAGCACTTCATATTGGTAAAATGTTTACTTTTGTGAAGAAGAAAACAGCTGTACCAGTTGTGGTCTGTTGAGGTGCAATAAATTAAAAAACACTTCATATTGGTAAAATGTTTACTTTTGTGAAGAAGAAAACAGCTGTACCAGTTGTGGTCTGTTGAGGTGCAATAAATTAAAACCTCTGTTCAGGTACATGTCTTTGCTTTTCTACTCTACATTTTAAACTAAAAAAAAAAAGGATCGCAATAGTTACTCTCACTGGTAACTAGTTACTTCTATAGTGGAGTAACTCAATTACTAACTCAGTTACTTTTGGGGAGAAGTCACTGGTAACTATAACTTATTTTTTCAAAGTAACGTGCCCAACACTAGTTATGAACAACATTCAACAATGAGTTACAGAGTGACAATTACCCCTTGATCAAAGAGATGGGAGGGGCCTCTGCTTGATGACATTTTATCATTATACATTTTACAATACTAATAACAATGACAACAATAATGATTTTAATAACAATTATTATTATTATGGTTGTCATGATATCATTGTTTACAAACCCACACAGAGTACTATAGTGATTTACTTTACTTGAGTGACCTGAAAGGCGCTTTTTAAATCAAATGTATTATTATTATTATTATTAAAGGGGCATTTAGAAAGCACTAGAAATTTGAGAATCTGACAATTACAGCAGTAGGTATCGCTAGCATATATTGAACATAGATATGTGTTCGCACGTATGTTTGACGAGCGGCTCCGTCACGAGCACATGGCGACACGTCCAGACACTCGACAGCGGACCAAGTGAAAGTCTAGTGCGGACAATGTGCAACGCTTTAATATAATTAACTGCACAAACGCTCTTTTCATATAACACAAACATTACTCAGGATGGGTGAACACTCCGGGAGCTGACGCTGCATTCACTGCACACAGTCAAAACACATCAGCTCCCCTGGAAAATCCCCGAGTAAAACACGGAGAGAGACTGACAGCTGAATGATCGTATATACTGACGGTGACACGATGGTCTGCTCTGTCATATTGGATCTGAATTCACTAAAAACTCACCTCTGTCCTGTCTTTGTTCTGCGCAGTCAAAACGGAGTCCGAGAAAAGATTCGAAATACTTTCACTTTCGAGACTGTTCAAGATGAGGAAAGACGGAATCTTGGGGGCGTTGAACGCACCATATAGTAGCGCACATGCGCACTGTGTTCTTTTCCGTGTGGTTGAAGCCGAGCGCCTAATAGTGAGAGAGCTGGTCTACTCTAGTGGTTTGGAGTACACGGTGGCCAACAACGTTTAAGGTGAAAATAAACCGCTTTCTAATAAAATAAAAGTTGCCTCTGTCTTATTCTACCGCCCCGCTACAATATCAACTAATAACTACTAATTCTGTTCCTTTCTGAGGGAACAGCTGTCACCTGAACTCACATGATCATTATCACTTTATTTATTCATCCTTCAGTTTCAGTCATTTCTCCTTCAGACAACAATTGCAGTATATATTAAATTTCTTGGAGATACTCACCTGGTAGTTTTAAACATTAATTCGTGTTCGTTTTAGATGTCAGGTGTGCTTCACATTAACGCGCTGTCCTTAACTTTTTATGTACTCCGGCGCCCTCTTCTGGCTGGTTGTACTGCTGCAGCTTTATGCTCTCGGTCTGGATTCGCGCCTTTTACACGGCGCTGTTTAATCTGCCATCTTTACTTCTTTATGCTAAAACTATAGATAACAACGCAATTAAAAGAAGGACACAAACCACGGTCGGTTTTCATTAAAAACACCATCTTAATAAAAAAAAAAAACAACAAGTATTCTGGACATTTGTTGAACATTATTTTCTCGTTAATAATTACTTCTTAAGTTAGCAGTGTCACGTCCGAATTAATAACCACGCTGTTTTTATTAAAGTAGCGGTTATCTTACTTGTGTTTTCTTCTTACCTTTTCAACTTGTTCTTATAATATAAACATACAAACATATAAACAAACGACAAATAGTTCTTACGCTTTGAGCTAACATAATATAACGCCACAGGGGTAAAAGATCCTCTACTCAAAATTTGGCCAAGTAAAACAACACAGAACTACATCCAGTTCTCTTCCGGAAGTTATGGAAGTGACAAAAATAAAAGCATGTATAGATATCAAATAATTAAAACATCTTAATATGTAGATATCCGGAATATGCGTACTTTTTGTGACTTTGACGTCTCTGAGCCCGCTAGGTGTGGATAATAGGATCCCGACTCTGGCATAAACAATGACGGAGAATTATGAACAAAGATTCAAGATTCTGGGAAGATAGACTCTTTTTGTTGATTCGAATCTTTGACTCTCGAACAGTAAAATGAACGAGTCGTGAACGAATCTTGAACTAATCATTTAATTCGTTTTACAGCAGGTGGCGCTTTAGCCCTATTGTGGGCGTTGTAAAGAAGGCTGAGGTTCTCCGACACCAAATACTGAAGGCAACATGGTTTGCTTCCGCTGACAAAGTCTACAAAGTACACAAAATGCCATAAGTAATTAAAACCATGCGAAAAGCTAAGAAATAAATACACACCACAATGTGAAGATGAATGAGAGCAAAAAAGACCCGAGCTCTCTGCGAATCTGCGAGAACGAGGCGAAAGATTAGTTCACAGAAAGTGATCCGTTCATAGTGATTAGTTCACAGCAAAAGATTAGTTCACGGCGAAAGATTAGTTCACAGAGAATGATTCGTTCACAGCAAAAGATTAGTTCACGGCGAAAGATTAGTTCACAGAGAATGATTCGTTCACAGCAAAATATTAGTTCAAGGCGAAAGATTAGTTCACAGAGAATGATTCGTTCACAGTAATTTGTTTGCAATGATACATTAGTTCACAGTGAAAGATTAGTTTGCATAGTAATTAGATCGTAGTGAAAGATTAGTTCAAAGTGAAAGATTAGTTAGCAGGTAGTGATAGGTTCGCAGTGAGTGATTCGTGAGTTCAATATGAATAAATATTTAATATGACTCGGGAGTCACGGCTCATACGAAAGATTCGTTCATTTTGAACGAATCACTCGCGAACGACACATCACTATCACTAGTAGACGATCTTTTACCGCTGTGGCGTTATATCGTGTTAGCTCAAAGCGTAAGAACTATTTGTCGTTCATATAAATGAACGACAAATAGTTCTTACGCTTTGAGCTAACACGATATAACGCCACAGCGGTAAAAGATCGTCTACTAGTGATAGTGATGTGTCGTTCGCGAGTGATTCGTTCAAAATGAACGAATCTTTCATGTGAGCCGTGACTCCCGAGTCATATGAAAGATTCGTTCATTTTGAACGAATCACTCGCGAACGACACATCACTATCACTAGTAGACGATCTTTTACCGCTGTGGCGTTATATCGTGTTAGCTCAAAGCGTAAGAACTATTTGTCGTTCATTTATATGTCGTTATAAAAACAAGTTGAAAAGGTAAGAAGAAAACACAAGTAAGATAACCGCTACTTTAATAAAAACAGCGTGGTTATTAATTCGGACGTGACACTGCTAACTTAAGAAGTAATTATTAACGAGAAAATAATGTTCAACAAATGTCCAGAATACTCGTTGTTTTTTGTTTATTTTAATCAAGATGGTGTTTTTAATGAAAACCGAGGTGGTTTGTGGTTTGTTGTTATCTGTAGTTTGAGCATAAAGAAGTAAAGATGGCAGATTAAACAGCTCCGTGTATAAGGCGCGAATCCAGGCCGAGAACATAGTGCTGCAGCAGTACAACCAGCCAGAAGAGGGCGCCTGAGTACATAAAAAAGTTAAGGACAGCGTGAAGCACACCTGACATCTAAAATGAACATTAATGTTCAAAACTACCAGGTGAGTATCTCCAAGAAATTTTATATATACTGTAACTGTTGTCTGAAGGAGAAATGACTGAAACTGAAGGATGAATAAATAAAGTGATAATGATCATGTGAGTTCAGGTGACAGCTGTTCCCTCAGAAAGAAACAGAATCTGTGGTTTGTGTTGCAGTTAGCACCGCAAGCAGCCATTAGTTGATATTGGAGTGGAGCGGTAGAAAAAGACAGAGGCTTTTATTTTATTAGATAGCAATTTCTAATATCAGCACTGATGTTGGCCACCGTGTACTCCAAACCACTAGGAGCAGAACTTGACTACACAGGAAACAAAAGCAACAAACGATTGGAAAAAAAAAAAGGCTTTTCACATTTGATTTGATTCAGTCTGGTTGTCCGGTATCGACCAACTTCTTTGGTTTTAGCCTGTAAAAAAAAAAACATTTCCCGTAGATAAATATATAAATCTGTATAAATGTTTTTAACATTAAGTTATTTGTACCTAAAATGTTTCACAAGGTTCATCTTCAAACACTGACATGGAACATTAGACAGGATTACAGAACCAGGAAGAAAAATCACCGTTCACCTAAAAACAAAGGCACACATTTATGATGTAAAATATAAGTTAAACATTAAACACTAATTAAAGACATGAACTGTTTTAAATTATTATATATTAACAATTCACAATTATTAATGTTTGACATTAAATTAAAAAAACAAAACAAGACAAAATGGTGTGAAACTAAACACACTCTCCTCACGTGCACAAGCAAGGAAACAAATATTACCTTAGTTTAGGTGGGGTGCAAAAGTCTTAGGCAGGTGTGTAAATTTTACTGCATCGCTTGTTTTGTTTTGATTTTTTTTTTATACTTTCCAAAGACACAAGAGGGTGTTATTCTCTGCATTTAAGAAACAGTGGTTAAGACTAGACACACAGGAGCAATTTTTAATGCGCCACTGAGCAGGAAGTGTTGGTACCTGGTCCACCAACACCACAACATGTTAACAGCTAATTTTAGACATTAAACTGTCAAACGTCAAGGGCTTGGATTGTTTTTGTTTTTTTGTTTTAAACCATGTGATCGGTTGCCAATTCGTGCCATGCCCTGCGGGGACATCCAGGCTGCTGGACCTGTTCAGCCAGGGCAGAGGCTGGGTTCCTGGTCACATGGTGGTGAGTTTTGCAAAACGGCTACTTCAAAGAATGAGCTTCTGGCACACCTGCCTAAAGACTTTAGCTCAGCACACGCCATAAACAGTTGTCAAACTGTTGCGTTCAAGTGAAGTCAGTACAGCTGGACGCTGTGTATAAATATATTGCTAAAGAATACAGTAAACAAAGACCTGGGGAGTTTGAATTTAACTTTTTTTTTTTTTTTTTTTTTTGAGGTTTTCTGAAAGGATCAAATAAACATGTTTACCAGTTTCACTAAGACACACCCAGCCAAAGAGAATTTTAGATTTGAATGTTGTCCAAATCTAAAATCCTATCATGCACGTTAGACAAAAAAAAAAAGACTCATAAAATATAAAAGATATTTAAAACATTCAGCAGTTCATCAAATGTTTGGGGCCAAGTCTATTGAATTGCACTGTGAACGTCAAAGCAGCTGTCGTAGAGACTCACGAAATATTTTTCCGTCTCAATAGATCAATCCCATGTTCTCGTCGCACCGGTCGTGGTTTCAGTACCAAACCAGACTGTGGATGCTCTCCACATCTTCACTGGCATCAACGTTGATGACAACTGAGGGTCAGACCCCGGTCGGTGGGTCAGTTCTGGTCCAGGGGCTGCTTGACGAAGGTGATGGCGGCCAGCTCCTTGCAGAACTCCTCCAGGACAATGACTGCTCTGAGCAGGGTGAGGTGTTCCAGCCTAAGGGACAAGGTCACAGGACAATGAAGCGTCCGTGAGGACTTGATGTCTTCGCCGCAGTACTGACGGACAAGAAAGGACGGGGAGAGTTACCCAGTGTCGTAGTCCAGTCCAAGCAGCTGTCTCCTGGTCTTCACTAGTCTGTCAGACACATTAGAAATGTTCTGGATCCTCTGCACCATCTCACCCATCACCTGGGAGACAGACAGAGACAGAGCAGCTGTTAAGTTTAATGTAACATTTCATATAAAGCACGTGTCAAACTCAAGGCCAGGGGGCCAAATCTGATCTGGTTTTGTATGGCCCTGCAGAAGCAAAAAAAAAAAAAAAAAAACCATTTAATAGAGTCCATGCGGTGCAGTTTCTCAACTTGATTTTTTTTTTAATACACAGAGCATTGAACAAATGTAACTTATATAAATAATAATCAATTGCAAAAACATTTAATGTTACGTAGAAGTTACATCTATACAATCTACCCACTGATGTGGCCCCCTGGTTAGAATGAGTATGACACCCCCTGATATAAAGAGAGACAGGACACCAGTGTGTCCCCCGGTGACCCACCCTGATGAGGACAGAGAAGAGTGACCTGGAGCAGGGGGATAGGTGTATGTAGGGGTGCAGCAGGTACTCGTGCAGCAGCGGGTGGTCGAAGGCCGACAGCCTGGAGAGGACGGCCGTCAGCTGCAGGTTCAACTCGTACGGCTGAGAAGACGAGGTGATTGGTAAACACACTTGGACGTGAACGTGAGCTCCTGCTGAGAACGTTACGCTAATCGGACTGGACAGACGGGCGTGTCTACCTGCTCCAGGATACGGCCGAGTCTGTCAAACAGAACTCTGAGGAGGTCTCCCTCGAAGAACTCCTCCCCCTCAGATGAGGGGGCGGCAGGAGGAGGAAGAGCGAGCAACCAATCCCAGGACCGAGAGAGCGACTGACACTGGGTCACCTGAGAAGAGGACAGAGGGACGTCTCACGGCTGCCTCACGTCAACATCACCGAACATGAACATCAAACTAAATATATTAAATGTATGTGTTGGTGTTTCTTATGTTTTTGCTGTCCTCGGACGTGTGTGTGTGTGTTATGGTTGACTCTTGCAAAAATATTGAACTACAAACATTCTAGCAGACGCAGTAAGCACTACATATATGTTTATATATGTACATGTACAGTACACATATGCCAGTGTTCGAGTGTGTTTGTGAGTGTGTTCTCACCAGTGTATGAGCATCATGAACATATGACTCGTATCCTCCCTCCTTTATCAGCTGAGCCGATCGAACCTGGACAGGAACGAGGCAGAGGAAACTGTGCGCACACACATACATGCGCGCACACAAATCCTATGACACCCTTCATCACACAGTAACACACTGCATTCCAATCAAATCAATATTCTAAAGTTCTTCTCAATTCACTTTGGACCCCCGCACCTTATGTTTATCCCAAATTCTGTTTAATGATTAAACCCCAGACACTGTCAAGGGGTTTCTGTCACCTGTTGATGACATCAGCCGGTGACCCGGGTCCAGAGAGGGGAGGAGGGGAAGGAGGAGGAGGAGGAGGATGAAGGGTCTGGATGTTGGAGAAGAGGTTGTCTGTGAAGAAGGGGTCGTCCTCGAGGTCACTGAGGTCAGAGGACACAGGTGAGATCACGTGATGACAACAACAACAATGACAGGCGTCAAAGGTCAATGACGGCCGTGTGTGGACAGTAGATAATGTGCTGGGACGTACTCGCTCTCCTCACTGTCTTCAGCGCCTCTGTTGTCCACACCAGAAGACTGTGGAGACAAATAGGTCCGCCTCTGCAGATAGTCCAACACCAGGACGTTCAGAATGTCCCTGTGTGGCTTCTGTAGTAACTCCTCCAGCAGAGACAGAGACGCCATGCTGATCTGAGGAAGGACATGGGGACAAGAGTATTTGAACCAAGTACCGGCTCAGATACAGTCAGTGGACAGCGGACAGGGGTCTGTGTCTAGAGCAGACTAGCAGGGCCTGGACTCACCTGGTCTGAGATGTGGTCGCAGCGCTCCAACAGCAGGCGTGTCACCGTCTGCGTCCTCAACAGGAAGTGGACCAGTTGGTCCAACAGAGAGGCGGACTGGACCAGTCTGACCACGGCACAGAGCATGGAGGTGGAGAGCCAGATGATCTGCTCAGACCTGGAACGGAGACAGAAGCGGAGATGGGTACGAGACAGACCAACGTTCACGTCCGCCAACGTGGGACACCAACCAGTCAACACCACACGAGGGAAGAAAACTCACGTGTGAAGCAACTGAGGCTTGATGACGTCCGACAGCCACATGTGATGAATACAACGGGCGATCTTCGCTGACAACGCCTGTTGATGACATGTGACGACTACAGGTATTACGACGGTACTCTGAGTGAATCTGGACACAATCGTTCAACAAACATCCGGAGAAAAACAAAGAGAAGAGAAGCCGGTGCTGAGGCCTCACCGACGCTAATACTTTTGTACTTTGAATCTTGAATATTCATAAGTATGTTAGAATATGTGTTGCCTCGTTACACAAGGATCTTGTTGTTGATCCATTGTAAAATAATTATTTTCAGGGTCGTGGGGGAGGAAAGGGAGGAGAGTGACCACAGCGAGGCGGGGTTACACCCTGGACAGTTGACACGTGAGCTGACCTGACTCACCGACTGACCAACTACAATAAAAATAAAAAAAATAATAAAAAATTCATTTAAACTTTTTCCTGAGTTGAGTTTCCTTTTTTTAAATTGCGCTGCCGTGACACAGCGGTCCAACCATTGTTATCCACAGGGACACTGGTTATGACGCACACGATGAGAGTCGCCACAGACACCCGGGTGAGCTCCGAGGAGACGTGGACAGAAAATGCGAGGACACTTCAAAATGAATACAGAAAACAGTACACTTTTATACTGTAGTTTTTGTTGTTGTTATATCTTTATAGATACTTTTATATATACATATTATTTTATCATTTTGCTGTCGTTGTTTTACTTTTAATTACATTAACTTTTAATTTGTAATTTAATTAATTACAAAAAACATGCCTGGAGCGCTAAAAATGTTTTCCTTTGAAGAGACATGGATCAAAAACGTCGTTATTTGTTGATAAAAATTGCGTAGGTCGTCGACCAACAGACGGTGATAAAACTTCAACAGGCGTTTGGACATGAGAATGAGAAAGAAGTGCTACAGCAGGGGGGGGGGTACCTGCGGTGACTCTCTGAGCATGTGATCCAGGAAGTCAAACCAGCGGAAGAAGTCGGTCACGTGATCAGCATCGGACGACGCCGGGCTGAGGTCGGAGCTGCAATGAGAGAACTGAGAACTGGAGAGAGAGAGAGAGAGAGAGAGTGGGGGGGACAATGTTCTTCAAATTCTTCAAATACTACTGTTACTGCACTGTATTTTACTCTTCTTGTTGTCACATGACCTCAGACATTAGCTCGTGACTCATTTAACTGCCTTTATACCTCCACGTCGTGTGTGGCCAGCTCTGCACCTGTCCAGGGTCCAGGCCCTCCAGCGGCAGCGCGGAGTACAGCTCCAGCAGTCTCCCCACCAGCAGCTCCCCCAGCAGGGTCTGACTGGACAGGATGTCCCCCGAGGGTCCAGACTGGAGACCTGACAGCAGCAGGAGACCCTCATAGGCCTTCAGACAAATGGGGCCCTTCTGTAGTAATGGAGAAAATGAGGAAAGTGGTGAAAATAAAATGTTTATTTATTTAAAATAAACATCATTATTATTCTAGTATTGTGTTTCTTTGTTTAAATCTATTTCTGTTTATTGTTATTTTGTTGTTTTTGGAGGGATGTTCACTACAGCAGGGGGCTCCGGACACTCAAATAAATACATTTTAAAAATCATATTTTTTGTCTGACATTATTATACATCCATTTTTATCCACTTATCCGTTTCCAGGTCGCGCGGGCACCAGTCGCCACCCAAATCACACTGCACCATACCAACCCCCCCCCGAACCTTCCTGCGGGTGGTGAGTCCACTGGAAGGTACCAACCGCCCTAACCGGGATTCGATCTTGGGGTTCCACACCAATGACAGAGACATTGCCTCTGGGCCAAAGCGCCACTCTGACATTATTATTTGATGTTTATTTTGCAATCTAGTTGCAGGCCGGATTGGATGGTTCGGCGCGCCAGATTGGGCCGGCGGGCCCCCAGTTGATAATCACTGCTCCACAGTGTGTTGTTTAATCGTGACTTTTCACGTTCGCTCTTTTAATACACGTGTGGTTTTAGTGCACATTTCCATCATGGCTGACCTGACTCTTGGTGAGCTGCAGCAGAGCCAGGAGCAGACTGTTCTCTGATTGGCCAGAGCCGACGAGCGAAGATTTCCTTTGCGGCGTCGTCTCTGCTTCGTGGTTGGCCGCTTGCGTGCTGGGCAGCGACTGATCGGAGCCTGCAGTTTTGGTCGGTGATTCATGCGGAATCTGACGAGAAAAGACATTTGATGAAGTTCCCACAAAAGCACTTCCTCCAGGTGCTGCGGTGACAACGAACTTCTGCTACCTCTAAAACGTATCTTAGCATGTCTGAGTCCTGCTTGACTTTGGAGCAGATGACTAACAGGAACTGAGCTTCTTCCTTCTCTGCCTGGGAACCAGGAAGTCCACAGAGACGGATCAGCTTCTGTGGAGGTGAAGAGTTGGACATTTTTGACTTGATGTTGATGAACTACCACAGCTGATTCACTGGGGAATGATCAACAAAGTCTGACACGATGAAATTTAGTTCTGGTGGTGTAAAAAAAAAAAAAAAATCGAGTCTGAGACTAGGATCACACCTGGACTACAGTTACATCGGTGAAAAATAAACAATATTCCCTCAAACCTATAATATCGCAATACATCGCAATAAATCGTATAGTTGCCTCTGTATCGCGATACGTATCGTATCACAAGGCTCTGTTCAGTTCAGGCTGAAAATCGATACGAGATGTGAGACGAGGGTTGGCAAAAAATACAGAAAAAAAATACTATTTAAAGTTGAACTTCACTGATCCCGCGTTGGGAAATTCATTTTACTTATTTTGAATTTTAATCATTTTATTATGTTGTCGGTATTTAAACTTCTTGATAGACATTTACAGTTAGCAATGTCTATCATTTAAAATATTGTTTGCCAATTTGGAAAATTCTTGCAGTAACAGCAGGTCTGCTGTTAAAAAGGCTGCCCCCTGCAGGCGCCAAGCATGTGGTTCCTCTCGAAATCGAACCCAGGACTCTCTACTCTCCACTTCCGAGGCCGGCGTGCTAACCGCTACACTATAATATCATTTATCTTGATTTGTCTGATCAAATTTAGTTTTAATTTTTTTTTTTTTTTAAATATAAAAATTAATCACTTGAATCAGAGTTAACGAGCAGGTTGAGACCCAGCAGCTTTAACACAAAAGACAGTTGTCTTCGTCCTCGGTGACAAACACCAAACTAACTATCAGTTATCAGTTATCAGTATGAGTTGGTCATGATTACCTGCACAGGCCTGTAGACGGTAACCAGGTGCAGCAGAGGTTTCTGCATCTGATTCAACAACCTAGAGAAGAACAACAGGACCTGCTGGGACATCCCTGGAGGATACTGAGAGGGAGGGGGAGAAAAACACAAACAAGGGAGGTGGGAGGGAGGGAGGGAATAAGCGAGGGAGGCAGGGAGAATGAGAAGGCAGCAGGGACGGAATGTCAGGATGTGCATCCGACGAGTCGAAACCCGCCGTGGTCTGAGTGGTGGTTTGTGAGTTTACCAGCGCCTCGCCCTGTTTTATTTTTTTATTTTCTTTATATAACATGGTCAAAAATGTAGTACAGGATTAAACTTGTTACCTGAGCTTTTCCCAGCGTGCACAGAGTCTCCAGTATTTTGTGCTGGATCAAGTACTCCAGACAGGCTCCGGTCTCCTCGGCAGTCTGCGTTAGGCAAAGATCATTACATTAACACCGCTGCCACTGCACTGTAGTAATACTGCATGTACGTGTACAGTGGATACCTGTTGCTTCTCCTCATACACTAATATGTCCAACATCTGCCTGAGACACCAGGGGATGTCTGTCTGTTTGACAGGACGATTGTCGTCTGCAAACACAAACATTTGTCCGTTTTGTATATATACAGTATATACACACACACAAAATATATATCCATATATATGGATAAATATATACATATATGTGTATATACATTTATGTGCATAGACATATACTGCATATATTTATACATGTATACATAAATATATATTTATACATATATGTATACATAAAATATATATACATATATGGATAAATATACACATTTCTATATACATTTATGTGTATACACATACTGTATATTTATAGATGTATACGTAAATATATATACGTATATGTATAATTATATATATTTATACATATATCTATACATAAAATATATATACATATATGTATAAATATATAGACATATATGTATACATTTATGAGTATATATATATAAACATCTCTTCAACTGTGTATTGGTAGGTGGGTGAAAAAAAGCCAGTATTTTATAAATAAACTTGAGAACGATACACTGTACTGACCGAAGTAGATTAGCTCAAAATATACTTTTTTCTGTTATTTCACAACAGCAGGTTACTGTGTGGCAAATGCTAATACTGTACACATTACTGTACACGTTTTACCTGTTGTTGTCATGTAATATGTGGTTATTGACTTCCAGTGATCCACAAATGATTGCAACAGGTCCACACCGGGCTCTCTCTGGAGGACAGACAGTTTGAAAAGCAGCAACAACAACAACAACAACAACAACAACAACAACAACAACAACGTACAGGTGAGACAAAATAAATGGAAGACAGGTAAAGAAAGCAGACCGGAAATTGCGTCTATATTGAGTCAAAACAACAAGTTTTTATTGCGTCGTTCTCTGTTGAAACTCATGTTGGAACCAGTATGAATTTCGGCTCCTTACTTACACACAGACAAAGGGACACTCTGTCCCCGCACCTTCCCCCAACACCGTGACAGAAGTTTAACTCATGACAGAAGCTACGTGGAGCTAACTGTGCTAATGTCTACTCACCGTCTCCAGCGCTTGCAGCAGCATGCTAGTTAGCTTATTGAAGGCGTCCATTACCACTAGAATTCGCCGACAACGGCTGGCCGTTATCCTGTTTAATTTCGGATAAGTTTAACCTAGTTATTAGGTTATAACTGCTTTACATGTTGACATGAGCACAAGAGTTAGTAACAGCTGAGCTGTTTTCTGTCAAAATAAAAAACACACACACGATATACTGTTTCAAAATAAAATACAGACGAAGGGAATGTGATCGTTTCCGGGTACGATTACAATCCCTCAAACACGGCAGATTATTGTTCTCGTTCTTGTTCGTCTTCCTCTTGTTATTCCCCATTTCATTCTGTTCTACATCAGACAATTAAAGGTGTGTCTTGTAGGAATTTTTAACGTTGGCCTGTCATGAAGAACACCAGTTTTTTAAGGTTTAGAATCCAAGGTCCTTTAGCTTAGCCGTAGTTTTTCAGATTTTTCAAAAAAATAGCAGTCATGTTTTTAAAATAATGTTATTATCTTTTTTTATCAGCATTATTTAATGGATAAAGTAAACAGATGACAAAATGTGTCAAGCGAAGGTTAGGGATCAGAACTAGACGAGTTTAGAGGATTTAGACCCAACTGGAAACTTCTCTACTACCAAGGCCACCTCTTAAAACATTTAACATTCACCAGAATTTTGTTGCCCGAACATGTTTTGGTTTTGTATTTTTATTTGTGCGAGGCATGATTTTTCAAAATGCTTCGCTGCAATTTTATTGGCTAACGTTTGGTAAAAGAAATGGCAATCGTTTCGGCTTAAACTTGTCGTGGCAGAGCACCGTGACATCTCCCTGGAACAAGAAGAGGCAGCTCCCTGGATATGTTCAAACTTTTAACATTTTTATTACACTCTCCGGGTGTTTTCATGAAGAAAACACAGTACTTATAATATATAATATATAAATGTTTGTTAGATATTTATTATGATTTATTCATATTTAATGAAATAATAATAAAATATCCTAAACATGAAGTGTTTATTTTATTGTTTTCAAAAGTCATCAAGAGGGCAGGATTGGACACTCTGGTGGGCCGTTTTTGGCCTGTGGGCCGCATGTTTGTCAACCCCTGGTCAATGTTCATATCCAGGACTCTGGTGTGGCTTTTTAATTAACATGTTTTTCTTTGCCCACAATTAATAATTCTTTCTTTTTACTGTTACATCATTTGGTTTTTAGGTTGTTTTTTTGTTGTTTTCTTTTGTAAATATCAATACATTAAACGCCGATTCACATTTCATTGTTATTACATAAGTGTAACGACATTAAGATTTGCGTCGTCTCCAGCACAATTTGAAAAAAGTAAATAAATAAATAAAATAAAATAAAAAACAGTACACAGTTAAATGAAGAGAGAATCAATTCAGCTTTTTTTCAAATTTAGCAACAAAAAAAAAAGGGAAGAATGAGATGACGCTTGTGTTATATATTAATGTGATGTGACAGAAATAGGTGTGGGAGGGTGGGGGGGGTGAACTCCCCAGAACAAACTCCCATGCCTGTGGCCACAACAGCAACAGCAGCAACAGCCCTGTGTGGATCAGTCTGTGGGTGTGGTGTCTCTGAACCTGTTGTGCCACAGACCTGGGTGGGAGGTGTTTGAGCAGCAGGTATAAAGTTACCTGCTGCCCCTCCCCTGATTGTCAGTCTAAGGTGGAGCTCAGCTGTCGCTCGTCTGTCGTTTTCCGTTTTCCGTTTTCCGTCTGAACTGAAAAGGTAAGTGTTGGCATTTTTTTTTGGTGATCTTTTTCTCTTCCTTCTATTTTCTTTTGTTTTCTCTTCATCCTCCCTCATCATCTCTATGCACTTTTAGATGAGCGAACTTGAAGCTGTGACGCAGTTGGGTTTGAGTTTCCAGTGTTGATTGATTGGTTTTACTTAAGGATTTCGTGACTTCACTTTTGTTTGATTGTCCGTGTTCACCGTCATTCATGAAACAGGATAACGGCACATGGGGGGGGTCCATAAAAGTATGAACCTCTTCAAAATGTGGCTAGGAGGCATGCACAAAATAATCAGGTCTGGGAGAGCTGTTCCTGCTGCATGTGACACATTCACTGCCTCTGGGGTTTTTTGGTATTTTCTGATGTCAATGAAAGTGTTAAATGTCCTAGTTTTGTATAGAAGGGTGGGTCCCTTCCTGTTTGGCAGCCAGCTGATACCAATTGTGCCCAGCCTATTTTTTAAAAATTTACTCCTTCCCTTTTAGGAACATCATGGTGTCCCACCCAGAGTTTGAGCGTGCGGGCAAAGAGGCCGGGCTGCAGGTGTGGAGAGTGGAGAAAATGGATCTGGTTCCTGTTCCTCAGGCCCTGCAGGGAGGCTTTTACTGTGGGGATTCTTACCTGGTTCTCTGCACCAAAAAGGCCGGACGAAAAATGCAGTTCGATCTGCACTACTGGCTAGGTAACAGAATACACCATGTACTGCAAAACATCTGTATTTTATTTTAAATATAATAATAATAATAATAATAAAATTAATTTACTGCTATTTGTATTTTTTATATTTTATTATTATTACTTGATTACCTGATTACTTTTATTTATTTATTTTTATTGAAAAACATTTTGTAACCAAGGGTCATGTGATGGCACTCATGGACCAAATAAGTGGTAATAATAATCTATTTAAGGGAATCATTGGCCACAGAATTCACTGTGGGATAAATTTGTGAAGAAATGATCAGACGGTCCCTTAATGAGGCCAGGGAGCGGAGTCACTTTCAGGTCTTTTGAGATTTCCTTACAACCTTGGCCAATTAAATGCAGCAACTCCCAAGTCTGTATAACTTTTAAAGTGAAAAACACTCCCTCAGACAACAAAGCAGACAGAAAACATATGTTTTTTGTTTAATTTCTGAAGAACACTGATGCACCTGAAGTCAAACATTGACCCGACCAATTTTCAGGTTGCGAGTGTTCCCAAGATGAGCGTGCAGCTGCGGCCATCCTTACAATCCAGCTAGACAACTTCCTGAATGGGCTTCCGGTCCAGTACCGCGAAGTCCAGGGTCACGAGTCCACTGTCTTTTGTGGATACTTCAAATGTGGGCTCAAGTACATGGTAAAGATAACCACGTATGACCAATACACACTGGTTGCTGCGACACAGCTGTTGACTTCTCACTCTTTGACCTGAGCAACATCACTAATTTTCTCCACAGAAAGGGGGCGTGGCTTCAGGGTTCAAACACGTTGTGACCAATGATGCGGACGTCAAAAGGCTGTTGCACGTCAAAGGGCGACGTACTATCAGAGCAACAGAGGTTGCCGTTTCCTGGGAGAGTTTTAATCACGGAGATACTTTCATTCTGGACCTGGGAAAGGTGAGATGTTAAAGACATATGTACATAAGACCTGAGCAGACTGTAGTCGAGGGTGACGGAGTGATGACGGAGGCTAGCCAAGTGTTTCTGACGATGTTTTCCCATCCTTCTTCAGCATATCATTCAATGGTCCGGTGAGAAAACCAACCCCTTTGAAAGGATGAAGGCCACGATGGTGAGTAACGCAAAGAAAATACGATTTCCCTTTTGGTGACATCACATCACCTCAGAAGATCTGGTCTACGGCCTGACAGGTGTCCAGAGGCATCCGGGACGATGAGCGATGTGGGCGAGCTGAGCTAGAGATGTGTGTCGAGGGTTCAGAGCCAGCCAACATGTTTGAGGTGATGGCACACCATGTCACATGATGTTGAAAGATTTGAAATGTATCTTACATGACCACAAATATTTCACCCCGCTACTCTGGACCACATCAAATCGTCTTTAGGTCCTTGGAGAAAAGCCAGAGCTTAGTGAAGCCAGCGATGATGACACCAAGACGGACACCTCCAACAGGAAGGTGGCTAAGCTATACAAGGTAAGGGAGGGGCCACCGAAGTGTTCACAGCGTAATATGAAGCCACAGCCAAAAAAAAATGTGTTCCACTGTTTGTCCTGAAGGTGTCTAATGCAAGCGGAGACCTTGAGGTGACACTGGTGTCACAGGAGAACCCGTTTTCTCAGGATTCTTTGATTTCCAGTGACTGTTTCATCGTCGATGTTGGATCCAACGGACAAATCTATGTTTGGAAAGGTGCAACATTGAACCTTTAAAAAAAAAAAAAAAAAAAAAAAAGAGAACCTCATCGGAAACCCAGTTTAGACTGACCCACACTTGGGTGTTTGCGTGTACACAGGTAAAGATGCTAACACCGAGGAGCGCGAAGCTGTCCTGAAGAGTGCGGAGCATTTCATTCAGAAGATGAATTACCCAGAATACACAGAGGTACAAAACCACGATTTATCTTTATCGGTTTTGATCCCGATTACCTCCCCTAACCCGCTAACTCTCCCCTCCACTTACCTACAGGTCCAGGTCCTTCCTGAACATGCCGAGACTCCGCTCTTCAAACAGTTCTTTAACAACTGGACAGACCCTGAAGACACTGTGGGCCTGGGGAAGCCCTACATCAGCAACACCATTGCAAAGATCGAGAAGGTACAGCAGGAAAGATAAAGTTCAGACTAAGAGATTTCCAAAGATCAGACCAACCTAACTCATCATCTTGGACAGGTGGTGTTTGACGCGGCTTCACTCCACGACTCCGAGGCTATGGCCGCACAGTACGGTATGGTGGACAAAGGAAACGGAGAGAAAAAGGTGAGGCGGGGGAAATGGGGACATGCTGAAAAATGAACAAATTAAGAATAAATTCTGTCTACTGGAGTTTCTGTCTGAGACCCTCCCCTCTTCTCCCCCCACGGCAATCCCGCCCCTCCCCTACCAATGTTTGTTTGCAGATTTGGCGTATTGAAGGATCGGATAAAGTTCCAGTGGATAAAACAGCCTTTGGTCAGTTCTATGGAGGCGACAGTTACATCATCCTGTATACGTATCGGCACGGCTGCCAGGACGGTCAAATCATCTATATGTGGTAATAATATATTGCAATATATGGACATTTACTTGCTGCTTTGACATGCGAAACCTCAAAAGTGACAAACAAAACATCCAATATATCCATTGTCTACTGTTTAGTATTTTCCAGCGCTCCCAATTCCAGCGTTCACCAGTAGAGGGCAGTGTAATCCCTGTGTAGTTCACCAGTCTATTACAAATCTAATTCCTCTGGTATCAAGCTAAAAAATCTACCAAAAAGTTTTGACTATTTGCTTGACAAGAATACTTAACCTCAGTACTACGGTACTGATACTTACCTCGAAAGAGTTGCTGTACTGTATACAGGCAGTACACGTTCCTTGACAGCGATGCGTGAAGCAGAACACCCTTTTTTGTCTCCCTGTCCATGCAGGCAAGGAGCTGAGTCCAGTCAGACTGAGGTTGCAGCGTCAGCCATCTTGGCAATCCAAATGGATGACAAACTAGGAGGTGGCGCCGTGCAGGTGCTCACAGCTCATTTACCACTGGATCCATTTCCTTAGTTCAGACTCTGACTGTCACACGGTTTGGTCCGCAGGTTCGTGTGGTCCAGGGAAAAGAGCCTGATCACCTCATGAGCCTCTTCAAGGACAAACCAATGATCATTTACAAAGGTGGGACGTCCAGAGAGGGTGGGCAGACAAAGGCAGCCGATGTCCGCTTGTTCCAGATCCGCTCCAATGCAGCCGGTGACACCAGAGCTGTGGAGGTGAGGTTGAGATCTGTGTGGATTATACTGCAGTACCATAGGCTGACATGTGGGCTGTAGACTGTAGTCTGATCCCAGTGTTGGTCGAGTGGAACTGTTTCCAGCTGAGTCGTGTCTGTCTGCAGGTGAATCCCACAGCATCAGGCCTGAACTCCAGTGACGTCTTCGTCCTGGTCTCCCCTGGTGGATCCTGGGAGTGGAGGGGGCAGCTGAGTACCCAAGTTGAGGTTAAGGGCGCCAAGCACCTGGCTGACATCCTGAAGGTGTCTCCTAAAACACTGGAGGAAGGGAAGGAGACAGGTGGGTGGAGAAGGTGCTGGTGTAGTCCGAGAGTGTTCTGATGTTAAACATAATCCTGACCAATCACCGCCACGCTCCCGGTGTGCATGTTCACAGATGCATTCTGGGAAGTTCTGGGAGGAAAGCAGGACTACTGCCATGTCCCTCGTTCCAAGAACAAGATGGAGGATTTCCCCCCTCGTTTGTTTGCCTGCTCCAACAAAACTGGAAACTTCCTGGTTCGTCCCACTGCTCAAATGTTTATCTAAAAAGCTACATTTGAAACGATAAGCAAAACTGAACTTCCTTTGAATCTGATGATGAAATCAACGACTCCACCACATTCAACAACGTTACACTTAATTAAATGATTGACTTTATCTGTGTCCAGATGGAGGAGGTGCCAGGCGAGCTGACGCAGGACGACCTTGCGCCTGATGATGTCATGATCCTGGACACCTGTGACCAGGTGAAAACTGGCGCGATGACTTGACAGTCCCAGATTCTTTCTACTTCCCTGGCACCATGACTGACTTGTCTTGTGCTCATGCAGGTGTTTGTTTGGATTGGAAACATGGCCCACGAGGAGGAGAAAAAGGAAGCTGTGTCCTCAGGTGAGGAAATGGAAAAACAGAAGTCATTGCTGCTGCCGCTATATAGTTTATTAACATTCGAGGAAAACCTTGTGTTCAGAATAACTCGTGATTCGATGCAGACTTCCCACGTCTTCCAGACGTTCTGGTAGATTTCGTACATAAACCGCAGCTCCTTGTTGTTGAGCAAGTCAAATAAAATAACCCACAATCCCAAGAAAACGAACAAGAATCAACATAAGGCAGAGATAGTGTACACCAGTGTTTCCCAAACTTTTTTCTGGGGACCTATATTTTAAAAGTCACAAACCTACAACCCAAGTTAATAGACATTATTCGTAAACTCCTGGGAAACATTAGCCCCCCCCGCCCAAAAAAAAAACAACTCTTGCGACCCACCAGAGGGTCGTGACCCAGTCTTTGGGAAACAATGGTGTGCACCAACGGTCCATAAGTTCAACTAAAATGCAGTCTTGACTGACGGCTGCGATCACATGACCGCACAAGTGAAAACTGTTGCCGCACTTCAACACAAATTTGCAGCCAGACATTTGTGATGTCAGATTGGGTGTCACGGCCCCACAGTTGGGAACCACTGTTCTGGACTGTAGTAGTTGATCCACGGTGATACCAAATGTTGTTTGTTTCTTGTCTAGCTGTGCGCTACATAAACAGTGACCCAGTGAAAAGGGACTCCGGCACTGCCATAGTGATGGTGAAACAGGGATCTGAACCACCAACCTTCACTGGCTGGTTCCTGGGTTGGAGCCGTGAGTACTGGACAGTGGACCCAATGGAGCAATGCTGCTTTAAAAAAAAGTGATGTAACTTCTCATGAAATGCTAAGTTTCACTGGCCAAATAAAGGAAACCTGTTCGTCTATTTGTCGTTCAGGGAGTCTGTCAATCACACGGTTCAATAGTGTAACAGTTTATTGAAGCATCTCTTTATAAATACTGATATTGATAAATACAATAAGAGGATCTGTAACAGAAAGTTTCTCATAAATGCAGAAAAGAGACAGAAGCCACAGTGAACACAGCAGAGGACGGAGTTCAGTCTGTACAGGACAACATACTGGGGGGTGTGTGTGTGTGTGTGTGTGAGTGGGTGTGTGCGAGTGCTCGTGTGTGTGTGTGGGTGTGTTTTCACAAACTATTCATCACAATTTTTTTTAGAGTTTTACTGTTCTACAATAAAATCTGATGTTTACATTAAAATCAGCAGATTTGCCTGAAACAACACAAACTAACACCTGACGCTCGGTCCTAAAAAAGGTTGTTTGCAGACACGCTGCCCTGACTTTGGGTCACATAATTGCTATTGTTCCATTAACTCACCACCTAAAGATAAAGAATCCTAAAAAAGTATACGGTTGGAGTTGATTCATGTGCATGTGGGGCAGCAGGGTCCATATACACAAGACTTGGGGCGGGGGGAACCCCAGGGCCATGTACTGGGATTGTTTCCGTTTCTGCCGCTGCCACCAGGGTTGAGTTACGGTTGAGGTTTGGTCGCTTCATTTGTTTAGACTGGGGGTTTGTTAGAGTTAAGGTTAATTCAAATTCAAATTCAAACTGCCAGCTGGCGTCCACCTACGAGGACTAGCATATGACTAGCATGCTCACAGGCTGCTAGCGGGGGCACAAGAACAAAGCTGAATATTGCCACAAGTTCCTGGAGTTGTTGGAGTCGCAACAGAGCCTAGTACAACCACACTTCAAAAAAAAACAAAAACCTGAATTCATCTGTCGGTCAACGGCTACGTTCAGAAAGAGTTGGCGGTCAACCGCTGTACACGTGCTGTTCACACATGCCCAACCTTATCATAGTCATGGTTCAGATCGTAAACACAACAAGTTCCATCTCTTTCCGGTAAACGGAGTTTGATCGAACCGGGCCACGTAAACCGATGGGCGTTCCCATAGGTAGCTTTTAACAGGAAGTACCAGAAAGAACCACCACGTGATGTCACAAGCCGTGGCATGTTCACAGAGGAAGAAACATGCAAAAAACAAAACAGCAACTGAGGAGTAAACCTGGCAGCAAAGAGAGTCAAGTCACATCTGTCGTTATAGGAGTTGGTGGTAGAATAACAGGTCGGTGGTAATTACAAGCTTGACTGGTTTGACTTTGACCGGATTTTTTTTTTTAAAGTGTGATCGACGAGTTAGCCTCGTCTCCAACCACGTCTTACATGCACTTAAGCCACTCCCTCTCCCAGCAGTCAGAGCCAATCGCAGCTCGTCAGCGGCTCAGCAGTTACCAGAGTTGCGGAACTCCCCGTTCTCAGTTATCTGCAGGGACGAGGTGTTGCTGGGAGATAGGCCGTTCCTCTGTGACGTCACGGCGTATCGTTCCTTCAGCTGAGTCAGAGCGGCCATCAGACGAGTGTTGGCGGCATCCAGGCTCGCTATTCTCTTCTCCTGAAATGGGGACAGGTTAGACAGACAGAGACTTGGACAGTGAGGTGTCTTCCACATCAGGGTGAGATTGTGAAAAAAGTTCACAGTTTTTCAGAGACGGTACGTGAAGTAAACGGCCATTTTTACTAGCTGAAATTTCCTCTGGAAAATATTACCAGATGAACGAGAGGAATTTTTGCCCAATAATAAAAGGCTTCTTGGACCTGAAGCTGTTAAACCAGAGGTGTCAAACTCATTTTGGTTCACAGGCCGCATACAACCTCATTAGATGTCAAGTGGGCCGGACCAGTACAATTAAAACACAATTTTCCCCCTTTGTTTTCATGCAAAGAACAAGTATATTAGATATTTTTTTTATATTTAATGAAATATAATTATATAAAACCAAACCTGAACATGAAATGTTTGTATCGTGGTATTTGTCTTTGCTTTCAAAATTCATCAAGCGGGCCAGTTTGAACACTCTTGTGGGCCGGTTAGGCCTGCAGCCCGTATTTTTGACATCCCTGTGTTGAACAGTGAAATAAATGAATGTTTACAAGACGATCCCTGGTTGTGGGTTCACTTTCGTTTGTATGTCCTGAATTGTTTATTTTCTCTCTACACTGGTGAACTGTCCATTATTATACCCCGCCCCCATCACCTCCCTGTACCTGGAAAGAAGTAGATTTTCTTTTAATTACATTGGAGAAAGGCTAAACACCGAATAAAAATGATCACATTTGCAGACGATGGTATGATTGTAAAGTTAGGAAACAAGGAACCTGTGCTTCTATGATCTTCTGTTTGGAGTCGACCACAGCCTGCATGTCAGAGTGGTCCTTCTTCAGCTCCTCCTCCACTGCCATCAACCTGCCACCAACGGGCGATCAAATCAGACCAGTTAAACACACACATTAACACAAGGGTCGATCAGGTCGCCGGGCCGACAGGTCTACCCACCTGCTGATGATGCTGTTCATCTGGAGGTCCTTGTCGTCCTGCAGTCTCCTCAGTCTGCTCTCCGTGTCCTCCAGCCGAGCCTTAAACACAAACCCTGATGACATCAGCATTTCCGCGCCATCGCGCACGTCAGCGGGGGGGGGCAACAGTCGCTGACGGTCGAAATTAAATGTATCACACCTGGTACTCCTGCAGCATACGCTGGTTCTGCTGATCCTGGACCATCAGACGGGCTTCACACTCCTCCTGTCGCAGGGCTGCGACTCGCAACTTCTCCTGCAGCATCGCAATCTCCTGCTGGTACTGTGGTCACAAACGGAAAGACAGTCGGACACAGTGAGGTCTGCACTATCAGCAGAAAAAAAAGAGACCAATGTCAGCAGGACCAGCGGTTTTTTACTTTTTCAATGAGAACTTCGTCGTGACGATCGTCCTCTGTTTCACCGTACGATGAGGCCGAGTTCATGTTGAGCAACCAGGCTGCAGTACGATCCAACGCACAGGGAGAGGGAGCCTGAAGACACACACACACACACACATACGCCACCTGCATGAATATTTGATACAGTGCTGTAGAATATTGAAATATCGTGAAACGAAATATCGCAATATTTCAGTGTATCCATATTTTCTTGCAACCCTAGCCTCTACAGCCGGATATGGGATCAAAACCTGCAACCATTGATTGTAAACCCAAGCCATTAACATGCCAAGCCTTGGATTTGAATGATTGTCTGTGACTGTATGAGCGCCACCTGTTGTCTAGTTCAGTGTTTCCCAAACTTTTTTTCTGGGGATCCATATTTTAAAAGTCAAAAACCTTCTTGACCAAAGTCAATAGACATCATTTCGTAAACTCCTGCGAAACATGATGCGAGACGACCCAAAAAAAGAATCTCTTGTGACCCACCTGAGGGTCGCGACCCAGTCTTTGGGAAACAATGGTCTAGTTCACTAACGGTACAACTCACAGTGAGGTACTTTAAGACTAAAGTACCTCACTACTTCAACTCATCGGGCACTCACTGCACTGTGCAACACTGACCCCTGTGGAGCAAAGCTCACTTGCAGGTGACCGTGGCTACAGACTCGTTACCTTGGCAGCGGATCGCTTCTCCGGACTGTCTCCTTTGGACGAGGACGATGTCTGTCTGAGTCGTGTCTGGCCGCTGCTGGGCCAATCCGGACTTGATGACATCATGCTGCCAGAGGCGGGGCGAGGAGGGTAGGCGGAGCTGCCAGCAGCCCCGCTAAGCATGCTGGGAGGTGTACGTCCTCGAGGAGGTCCCGGTGGTGCAGAGTTGGGTGGAGGTGGTTGATCAATGCGTCTCTGAGGCCCTGATGAGTTCTGACGAGGCGGGGCGGAGACGCCTGAGGGGGTGAGGAATAAATCAAGAAAAAGGTCAGAGTTTGGTTTTTTTTTTTGCTTTGAAAAACGTTCTCTCTGGAGGTGGTAGGAAATTTAAACCTGTTCAGATTCAGTTTATAAACACTTGACTGTTTGAGTGAGAACACAAGTTGTCTGTGAGTCACAGACCTGGAAACTATTTTTAATGGTTTGCAAAGATTTGGAAAGAGACTGGTCCCGACATCATCCACAGAGAGAGAGAGCATATTTATGTTTCTGTTCCCTAAGAACATACTAAACATACATTGTACGATTCTAGCCCATTTTTGACCCGATTTTTGAGACGCTCGGCCCGATTTCCCATTTCATCAGGTGTCTTTTTCCGTACAGTGTACAGGGGGTAACGAGGGCCGATTATCTGTATCTGAACCACTGTCGGACGGTCGGAAGAATTTCTGACATGTCAAAAATTTTGGTCGGCCGACAAATTCTTTCGTGCAGTGGAAGCAGAGCCCCGAGCCGACCGGAGCATTTCTCCCTCAGTGCGCCTGCGCAAAGTGATAGTAACCATGGCGAGGCGTCGGTGACATGAAAATATGGAGGCGAGATTGATAGGGCTGTGGCACCGTCCACAATAAACGTAATAAATAAACAATAAACGTACTGTCCACGTTTATTCTTTATTCTTTTTTGAATTGTCAGCGCACAGTATCGCTGCAATCATAATGACAGCCTTCTTCTTATGGATTAGCATGTTGCTAATAACCAGCGTTGGAGCTTTCAAATAAATCTTTATTGACAGCTGTCAGTAGACAGGACAGTCAGCAGGGGGCGATGGGCCGTTTTCACCCACACAGTGTGAGCTCTCTGGTCGTGTTCGCTGATCGGACCGTGCAGTGTGAGTACATAAATCGTGAGCTTTGTCCGTATCACTTGTACAGTGTGTGATGGTATATCATACAGTGTATGCCTGCCCTAAAAAAGCACCTAAATATCTGTATTATATCTAAAGTTTTTCAAATGACGTCATCACTAATGGAGTCTGACCTGCCGGAGCCTCAGTCAGCGACAGAGCTCGTCTCGAGTATTCCTCTCCGCTGCTGCTGCTCGACATGGCTGAAGTTCTCTCTCCCCGCTCTCCGCATCCAAGTCCCA